GGGCTGGGAGAGGGTCCGGCCCACGCTGCGCCTGGGCTGGGACTGGTCCCGCCGGCGCAGGGTAGCAGGAAACTCTCCGCACATTCACCGGACCTGGGCTAGGACTGGGTCTGTAGAAGAGATATCTATACTCCTATGTTCACTAAAGCATTGTTAACAATAACCATGATATGGGAAGAAACTTTAGTGCCTATCAAAAGATTGGTTAATGAATTTTTTAAAATGTGATATACATGTATATAAACACACAATATAGTATATACACCATATATAGAGAGTATGTCGAGTATATCCATATACACATATAATATATGCAAAGTATAATAGAATACACACACAAATGGGATACTACTCAGCCTTGAAAAGGAAGGAAAGTATGTGATTTGTGAAAACATGGATGAACCTAAAAGACCTTATGTTAAGCGAAATAAACCGGGCACAGGACAAATACTTACCTCTTCACATATATAGTCTAAAAAAGTTGAGTTCATAGATGTAGAAATTAGAACGGGGGTTACCAGAAGCTGAGGGACAATGAAGAGGAAGAAACGTTGTTAATTAAAGTATGAAATGCTTCAGTTAGACACCAGGAATATATTCTGGTAATCTGTTGCACAGCATGGTGATGATAATTAATATACTGTATGATTCAAAATTTAATAGTGAATTTTAAGCGCTCACATCATAAACCTTAAGTACATAAAGGATACATTAATACAAATTTGACTATTCTACAATATATATGTTTTGAAACAGCACATTCAGCCCATAAAAATATTAAACTGTTTGGAATTAAGTAGTTGAACTGAACTGTTAGGTGGATTTTTAAAATTTTATTTTAATTTTTTGTTATTGTAATTGAAAGACTCTATAAGAAACATAACTTAGACACTACATGCACCATAAACTGTGAAAATTTGGAAATTTGTGGTTATTTTATATTGATTGTGTGTAATTGCAGCATGTCAACGAATGGGGTCCAAGCTGAGAACCAGTATTAACAATCTGGATTTTAAAATACCTAAATTTACTTTGTCTTGATTTTAATTCATTTATTTACTCTGTAAGTACTTATTGCATACTCATTATAAATTATAAGATATCTGCCAGGGAGATGGCTCAGTGGAATAAGCGCTTCCCTGGCAAGCACAAGGGCCCGAGTTCAATCCCCGGTTCTGAAAAAAAAAAAATTCTCTTTTGGCTCAGTGGAATAAATTATAAGATATCAAAGTACATACAATGATGAACAATACAAGACTTCTAAGCACCCATTGTATCTCCCTACACAAATGTACCCTCTACAAAATGAGCTTCTTAGTTAAGGGATCTTTCTTCTGTACAATACATATAAAAATGCCATATCCCTGAAGAAAGAATTAGCACATCCTGTAGTGTTATTATTCTCTACTTCCCCACTCAGTTTATCAGTAATTTAAGAAAACTTGCTGTGCAATGCACCTGACAGTTGAAGCTGTCAGAACAAGGGTTTTAGACAGGAGCAGGATGACATTTGTGTCTAAGGATCTAGAAACAGATTCAGAATTCACCAACATGATCATTTTCCTTCAAGAGTAAAAGATTAGTGGTCACTATTTTACCTTGAAGAGGGTTCCACTGAGTGTCTGGCACACAAGGACCTCAGGATCTCAAAGACCACTGCAGAAAGACTCTTGGGAAAGCTCTGCTAGTAATTCTTCCCTTTTCTTTTTTTGGAACTAAATACTACTTGTAATATTTTTACTGTAGAGACTACAAGTCTCCCAGTAAACTAATGAAAATTTAATACAAGAAAATGTTACAATGATCAAAGAATTATGTTATCTTCTACCCACTGTCAACACATGCCAAGGGACTACTGAAGCAATTCAGATCCTCAAATATTTCCAATTTCTTTGCAGGGAAATTATGATCCATTCCCAAATATACTGTGCTTTCTTTCAGTGAGACATACTTGGATTTAGAAAAAGGCATTGTGGGGGGTATTAGTTTAGAGAATTTTCTTTCTTGTTTCTCTTCATTATTCTCAAACTAGAATTACTGAGTTATTAGAAAATGACAAATAGAGGACAAGAGAGAAGGAAATGAAGGTAGAGAGAGAGATGGAAGAAAGAAACTCGGGGTAGGTTAAAAAGATAAAGAGCATAGATGATTTTAATGAGAACAAAACTAGTATTAGCATCCTTAGCCATTTTGATTGAGAGTAACTCTTGAAAGTATTAAAGGGAAACAGTGGCTGGCATGCTATGCTGGCCCTGCACCAGGGGCACAATGAGACAGTCAGTGAGACTGGGCATGGTGGCACATGCCTGTAATCGCAGAGCTTGAGAGGCTGAAAACAGGAGAGTCAGATCTGTGTAGTGAGACCCTGTAGAACCTGTAATAAATACAGTTTTTAAAAAAGAAAATATTAAAGGCAAAACCATAAGAAGTTACTTCTTATCAATACTTGATGAAAAATACCTGTTTCATGTTATGTCTAAGATGTTTGATATTCAGACAGACAGTGAGGTTAAGCTTAACAGCCTAAGTTGTATGGTAATAACAATAAGCTTTTCTTTTGGAGGGTTAACAACCTCAGTTTGCAGACCAAAATTATAGAAAAAGGAGGGCCGCAAGGAAAGCCAACATTTTGGCCCTAGCCTTCCAAGGTCAATTAAGCTCAGGAAATTAAATAAATAAATAAATAAATAACTCAGGACATATGAGAATTTGTACTGTAACATCACATAACTCGGTAGTGTCCCAAATTTTCTGATCAAGGAGATTATGGGGCCAAAGAGAAAAGTGATCGATGATGTAAAGTGTGCCTAGGAGAGCCACATGGAGAGAAAACATTCTCTCAGGCTTTCACAGAGAGCACATTGGCCACACAATGGCCATGAGTCATCCACATGACTGACACTGACAAAGGTTCTACAATCTGAGGTACAGGATCTCAGCATAACTCCTGAGGGGATTGCACTAGCCTTATCTACCCAAAAGCTACAACTCTTGTTGCATAGGT